TCTCATAATTTTTCAGCACCTAGAACTCCGCAACAAAATGGAGTAGTTGAAAGAAAGAATAGGTTTCTAGTGGAACTTGCAAGAACAATGCTTAGTGATGCAAATCTTCCTAAATATTTTTGGGCGGATGCGGTCAGTACGACATGTTATGTTGGAAATCGAGTTATCATTAGACCTATAATAAAGAAGACTCCATATGAACTCTTCAAAGGAAGAAAGCCAAATATTGCTCACTTCCACATTTTTGGTTGCAAGTGTTTTGTTCTTAACAATGACAAAGACAATCTCGGTAAGTTTGACGAGAAATCCGACGAAGGTATATTTCTTGGTTATTCTCTTTCTAGTAAAGCATATAGAATTTATAATAAAAGAACTTTAACTATTGAAGAATCTATGCATGTATCTTTTGATGAAACTAACACCTCTAAAGAGGAAGTAGTTGTGTGTGATGATGATGATCCTATAGATTTACCCCCGGAAGAACTTTCAAATGATCAAGTTGTGAAATCATCGGAAAATCAAGAAGACATTGTACAACAAGATTCAAACATCAATGATCTTCCAAAAGAATGGAGAACTCATAGAGACCATCCTATTGACAAAATTATTGGTGACATTAGCCAAGGAGTATCAACAAGATTAAATCTAAAAGATGCTTGCTTAAACATGGCGTTTGTTTATCAAATTGAAACTACCAAAGTTTATGAAGCCTTAGGAGATGATCAATGGATTATTGCTATGCAAGAAGAATTAAATCAATTCGAGAGAAATCAAGTTTGGGAACTTGTTCCTAGACCAAGTGGTAAACACATCATAGGTACCCGATGGGTGTTTAAGAACAAACTTGATGAGAATGGTCTAATTGTTCGAAACAAAGCAAGGTTGGTTGCCCAAGGTTACAATCAAGAGGAAGGAATCGACTTTGAAGAAACATTTGCTCCGGTTGCAAGGTTAGAAGCTATACGTCTTTTACTTGCTTATGCTTGTTCATTAAATTTTCAGCTTTTTCAAATGGATGTCAAAAGCGCATTCTTGAATGGATACATCAATGAAGAAGTCTATGTCAAACAACCTCCAGGATTTGAAGACTTCAAACATCCTACACATGTCTTTAAGTTGAGAAAGGCTCTTTATGGCTTAAAGCAAGCACCAAGAGCATGGTATGATAGACTTAGCAATTTTTTGTGTGAAAAAGGTTTTGAAAAGGGTAAGGTTGATAAAACTTTGTTCATTAAGAAAATCAAAAGTAACACTTTATTGGTTCAAGTCTATGTTGATGATATCATTTTTGGATCGACTAACAAAGAAATGTGTGAGGAATTCTCATTGATGATGCAAGGAGAATTCGAGATGTCTATGATGGGAAAGATGAACTACTTTCTTGGACTACAAATCAAGCAACTAAAAGATGGAATCTTCATCAACCAATCTAAGTATTACAAAGAATTATTGAAAAAGTTTGATATGGACTTGTAAAGCAATGAATACTCCAATGGGCTCCGGTACATATGTTGATCAAGATGAATCCGGTATTCCAATTGATATTACAAAATACCGAGGTATGATTGGTTCCTTATTGTATTTGACGGCAAGTCGTCCTGACATAATGTTTAGTGTTTGTCTTTGTGCTCGCTTTCAAGCAAATCCAAAGGAATCACACCTCATGGCAGTTAAAAGGATCATGAAGTATCTCAAAGGAACAACCAATGTCGGCTTATGGTATCCTAAAGGTAGTATTTGCACTTTAATTGGTTATTCTGATGCGGATTATGCAGGTTATAAAACTGATCGTAAAAGCACAAGTGGTACTTGTCACATTATTGGAAATGCATTAGTATCATGGGCTTGTAAAAAGCAAGCATGTGTTTCTCTTAGCACGGCCGAAGCAGAATACATAGCAGCGGGTAGTTGTTGTGCACAATTTCTTTGGCTCAAGCAACAACTCCGTGATTACGGACTTGATCTCTGATGCATTCCTCTTCGATGCGACAATACAAGTGCTATCAATATTACAAAGAATCCGGTCATGCATTCAAGAACCACACATATAGATATTCGACATCATTTTCTCCGTGATCATGTACTTCAAGGAGATGTCGAAGTCACTTTTGTGGATACTCATAACCAACTCGCAGATATCTTCACAAAACCGCTTGCTCGAGAACCATTCTTCAAAATCCAAAGAGAACTTGGTATTTTGGATGAAGGTGATCTCTAAATGTTTCTCATAAGGTGCACGTCTTAAATGAATTTGTTTTTTAAATGAATTTGTTTCACTCTTTTTCCCCATCCTTTTTGATGTTAACAAAGGGGGAGAAGAATATGCATATGTGTTGTTTTGTTTCAAAGAAATTGCAGGCCAAAATAACTATCATAAAACTCACTCCAAAATTCAAAGAATCATGGACTTAGGGGGAGCATACAATTTAGGGGGAGCCTTGCATTTGCTTAACATTTTTGCTACACAAAACAACATAAACATTTCAAGAATTGTTTTCAAGACTTGGTTGTCATCATCAAAAAGGGGGAGAATGTAATTGCAAGCTTCTCAAGTCATGTGTAAAGCATTGGTTTTGATGAAGACAACATAGATATCAACATTCAAAGGATGTACAAAAAGTTTATCAATATCATATAAAACCTTGTTACAAGTCTTGAAGATTAGAAGAAGAATTATTAAAGAAACAACAAATGTCAAAAGGTATAAATAATTCTTAAACTTGAATATAGATGTTCACAAATATGCATTCATAATCATATACATATCCCATATTTTTAACAATAAGAAAAACTATGTTTGAGATCTTTTTCAAAAGGATTTTTTGAAAATAAACTTTCAGGAACCGGTTCCTACCTAACAGGGAACCCGGTTCCAAACTTGTTCAAAAATCACTTCCCTGGAATTTGTACCAGGAACCGGGTTGTACCTATAGGGGAACCAGTTCCTGCGTGTTATTTTTGAATTCTGGGTTATAACGTTCACTAAGAACCGGGTTCTGCCTGGGTCGGAACCGGTTCCCAGCGAACCAGTATAGATTTTCTTTTGTTTTTTGAACATAATTCAAATGGTATTCTTTCATGATTGCATTGCATCTTTTCATATCAAATGGCATGAATGAAGAGGTATTTGTGACATTATAAATTGTGCAGATTTTCAAATTCAAATAACCTTCTTCAATTAACAATTTTCATCATTCAAATTTGCATATTCTTACAAACTTTCAAGTGTTCTTACAAATCATAAATTTTGTGAAACTTGCCATATACATTTTCATTAAGAAATCATTACAAGTTTCATACATTCATTGTGAACATTTATAATCATTGCTTGAGAATTGTTTCTTTCTTGAAGAAGAAGATCAATCAAAGATTGATAGTGCTCTCCATCTCTTTCAAATAAATCATTGTATTACAAAAAGAAAGTATTCCCTTACTATCCAAGATTGTTGGAAGTAAGTGTTGTGATTTGAAGAGGATTGTTCTTCATTCACATTAGTGTTTGTTTGACCTTAAAGGTGTTAAGAACCTTTGGTCACCCTATAGGTTAGATAGTAAGCATAGGTTGTACAATCATTCTAAACTATAGTGAAATCTCTTTCGTGTTGGAAAGGGGACTGGAGTACTCTCGGATTGTGAGGGGAACCAGGATATATCTCCGTGTTCTTTACTTTTCTGCTTTTATCGTTTTCATCACCATAATCAAGAAAAGATAAGATATAGTCAAAAACCTTCAAACACTTAACCACAAATTACTACAAGTATTCTCATAAAACCGAATAAATTTTTATATACCTAATTCACCCCCCCTCTTAGGCACTCTTAGACTTACAAAGCAAATATTCTAACAGAATGGTATAACAGAAAGTAAACTAACTGCCTAACAATGTGTCAACACTATTAGAAAAAACCGAATTTTCGATTTTAAAAAAATTGACTTTTTGATTTTCGAAAAAAACGACTTTTTTATTTTCGAAAAAATCAACTTTTTTTATTTTCGAAAAAACCGACTTTTTGATTCTCGAAAAAAAAGATTTTTTGATTCTCAAAAAAATTGAAATTTTGATTTAAAAAAAAATCGACTTTTTTAATTTTTGAAAAAATCGACTTTTTAATTTTTGAAAAAAATTGCCTTGTTTTTTATTTTCGAAAAAATCTACTTTTTTTCCCGAAAAAATAGACTTTTTTTTCCCCAAAAAAATCAATTTTTTTATTTTGAAAAAATCGATTTTTTTTATTTTAAAAAAATTCAATTTTAAAACTTAATTACCAACGGTTCGATTCAAAATTATTTTGAGATGAGTTAATTGTTTAACGGTTCAATTCTAAAATCATTAGTAAAATATATGTTTAATTCACTAACGATTAATAATGATTCAGTTATTTTAACCTCAATTCAGTTCGGTTCGTTACGGTTGGGCAGTTTTTTTAACAACCCTAGTTAGGTCAAAAGATTATTGCTAATTTTGGGGTGTTATTCTTTGACTTTTTATTTTCAATTTGACTAAATTTTCAACCAAAAAAAAATCCATATGAACCTCGAAGCTTCTAGTCTAGGAAAGCCAATTTAAACACATAATTAGAGCGTAAACACGGTGGATAAATTAGTTGACTTTGGTCCAAAACTCTCATATGTTTTGTATTAATAAAATTGGTCAAATAAACTTCTCAAATATATAAACTCAAGAGAAGTTTCCATCTACATGTCTTTGTTGAACATGGTGGCGTAACATTAATAATTTACTATTATGATTTTCCATTTGTTAATTTTTTAATTACGCCCTTCTTCACGTGCCAAAACTCACCTGCCATCGTAACTACTTAGCTCATGCAGTTGAATATAATTGTTTTTCTATTTATCAAGGACTAGTATAAATACAAACAAGCCTACCATTCATATGCATTGCATTATTTGATTGGTAATCTATCATTTTATTTCCATATACAAAGTGATTTTTTTGGTGGAAATCCGAAGAACAAAGAAGTTAAGAACTAGAGAAGGTATGAATAATGGGAACGTGTACAACTCGTATGGAACATCATGGGCAGATCAGTGGGACAATGGTCCTGATCCTATTATGGCTGGTTCCAAAAACAAGAACAGCACAACAAAGTATAAGGAAAAAGTTGGGGAAGGTTTAGGTAAGACCAAAGTAGTTGCTTCCAGTGGTATGAAGAAGATAAAAGATGGTACCTCTGTTGGTCTCAACTGGATCAAGACCAAGTATTCTAAAGCCACCAACAAACATTAGGCTACTTTGAAATTTTGAAATATAACTTCTTTGTGTACATGTTTTTTTTTTATAATTCATTTATTCTTGGTTGTATTGCTTATATAACTGTAGTTTTGACGTTTTTTTATGTTTACCTTTGTTGTACATCCATTTTGAGATTAAAATATCATGTTTTGTGGACTGGTTTGGTATATTCAAAGTTATTTGTTCTGTTTGTCATGCTTATCAGATCGAACTAACACAAAAAAACGCCCTAAGTTTTTGTGGTACACTTTTATGGTTGTCAACATGTTGTCTTAAATTGAATTTTCATCTTAAATTGAAAATTGCTCAACATTTAATAAAAAGCAACAATTACATGTCTCGATCACTACTATAAAAGAGTTTTTATCTAGGTTAAGAAAAAAAGTTTATTTTAGTTGAGAGTCCGAGGTAGATGGTAATATATAGAAAGTAACATTTTTCACCCGGGACTACGGACACTAATACAAAAAGTATAATATAATTTTAAAAATTACATCCATTATACTAAAAATGGACGTAAATAAAAAACGCAGTGACAATTTTTTAAATAAAATATAATTTTAAGTATTAGTATGTGACAATATATAAAATATTTTTTAAAAATTGATGTAAATTAAAAATATTATTATAATGAAATTTCTATTCATTAAAACGTATGTAAATTTAGATGAATGAAAAAAATTGTTTAATTTTGCAACTCAAAATATTAATCATAAACATATTAACAAACCACAATCTATTTTATTAAGTGTTAATTGTCTAATTAAGTGAATATTAATGGGTGTAAATTTATTAAGTGAATATTCTGTAAATAAAATAAATTAAACACATAAACAAATTATCACACAATTTTTTCTCTCATCGGACATCCATTCTCTCCGAAATCCATATTTCCATGCACATTCATTCTCTCTGAAACTCATATTTCTCATCGCACATCCATTCTCTCATTGCACATTCATTCTCTCATCTCTCACTAAACGACCATTTTAACAAGGACATCGCACAACTCGATGAAGGTGGGTAGTAGTGACGACATGCACGATTAAGAAATCAGACTAATTGGTTAGTCTTTTTTTTCAATTAGGGTTTAATCTTTTAGGTAGAATATTAGGATTTAATTTTTTAAGTAGAAAATTAGGTTGGTAGAAATATACATGTTGATCACAATATCCTGATTGAATATCATGAGAATGAATATTTTTGAATTTTTCTATTGATGCAGAATGAATATCCTGAGATAGAAAACCCTACAAAGCCTTCATCCTCCTCTGAGCAAGTAGATTAATTGTTGGCAAGCGATGCAATTAACAAGCGATGTAATATGATAGAATTAATTGTGTTCTTGTGCAGAACAAATATTCGGCCAGATTTCCAAGAGACTGTTAGGAAGAATTTACCGGAATGAGTTTATGAAATGATTAGAGATTTGAGAACTATGCTAGAGAAGCGTGTGTTCTAAGATGAATGTCTTACTTATCTCACTCATAATATATTTTCTATTAATTAAATTGGTCAAGTAAACTTCTAAAATATAAACTCAAGAGAAGGTTCCATATACACGTGTTTGTTGAACATGGTGGCGTAACTTTAATTATCAATTATTATTAGGATATTTTATGCATAAGTGAAGGCCATCTTTTATGCGCCATCCTAACTACATAGCTCATGCATTTAGATATATTTGATTTTTTTATTTATCAACGACTAAGTATAAATATAAACAAGCCTACAATTCATCATCACGATATATAAATTGCATTATTTGATTAATAATCTCTCAATTCAATTCCATATAAGCGATTTTTGACAAAAAAAATTAAGAGCTAAAGAAGATATGAATAATGGGAATGTGTACAACTCGTATGGAACTATGTGCAGACCAGTGGGACAATGGTCCTGATCCTATTATGGTTCAAATTTGCAGGAAACGTATTTTCTGCAATTTTTCTTACAGTTTATGGTCTCTAGTTGCAGAATATTTTCTGTAGTTAAACCTTAGAAAATTATTCGCAGGTAAATCCGCAGTAAATTTAAGTTTAAAGGTAAATCTACAGAAAACTTTTATCTCGAATTAAATAATTTTTTGTATTTTTAAAAAATTATAGATTATATATTAAAATAACCATAATATAAAAATAAAGACAAATTCATAGAACAACAATAGATTTAAATTGCTTTGAATTTAAATAAGATAAATTCATAGAACAACAAATTACTATAAAATGTACTACAAAGTTTGTAACAAGTTCTTACATAGTCACATTACTAAAAATGACTCAAACAACCAAGCTACTAATATTCATTTGTCCACCCAACTTAAAAAGATAAAACTATCCAAAATATAACCAAGTCAACAAGAAAAACAATACAAATCAGAATTCATTCCTAAGGTCTTCTTCATCTGATTCTTTGACGCCATATTCATTACGAAATAGGTTGGGGTTGAGTGGGTTGGGGTTGAGTGAGTTGAGGTTGAGTGACTTCATGTTGAGTAGATATATAACCTTTCCCATAATTCTTCTTCTTGGACTTTTTTGGCGGCATAGTTTGCAAGAACTCAAAGGATTGCAAAACTTAAAAAGTTAGAGTGCAAAATCAGAATTTTTTTTGGCAATAATCAGGTATTGAAAAAAAATTCGCAAATAACCATGTTTCAGAAAACCCCACAAGGGAGGAGCCATCTCAATTGGCGCCTACACCTTATTTTAAAGGGGAGGCGCCATCTCACTTGGCACCTAGGTGTTAAATTTGTGCCCTATGCCAAGTGAGATGGCACCTTAGTGCAATGGGGAGGTGATTTTTCACGTTTTTTAATTTAAATGCAGGACGTTACGTAAACGATATAGGATCACGAAAAATCGACTTTTTATTTATACAATATGATTACACAAAATGATTACATAAAAAATACAAAATTGGTCCCCCGAAACCCGGTAATGACCTGCAGTTCCGCATCTCCGTCCTCGCCTTTCCCGTGGTGCATTTCGTCGTGTTTCCTGTAGTGGCAGGGTCGATGGCCCAATGAAGTCAATGCGTTCCGGATCCATGAAATCAGTCAGATCTCCATATTTAGAAGATCCTCTTTGGTACAGTCGGTTATCCATACCCTCAAAGTTTGATCGTGTTGGTGGTGGGTGGGGTTCCATGGTTGGTCTATAGCACTGGTCGTCTGAGTAAGGGGGTAGAAAGGAAATGAATCCTGGGATGTTTGGTATTGGGAATGTTGGGTGCTTTGGTGATGTGGTGGTTGATGATAAGTTGGATCGGTTGGTTCATAATCTTCGGAAAATCCTAGATCATGGCTAAGGTTAGATGTTGAGGGGCCCATATTGAGATATGTCAAAGACTGGAATTATGTGTGGAGCATGCGGGTGTATTGGTATTGTGATTGAAATTATGGTTGGGTGTGGGGCATATGAGGGTATTGGTATTGAGGTGGTGATTGTGGTTGGTTGTGGGGCATGTGGGTGTAATCGTATTGTGGTGGTGATTGTGGTTCTGTTTCATCGGGGAGGTTGGTGGGAGGTTGATGTGTGTTGGGATTGTTGTTGGGGAAATGAGGGTTGTGCCCATTGTGTTCGTGGGTCAACCAAATACTTTGGATGAGATACGTGCATTTATGGGGTACTAACCAATGTGTACCAAGCTAAATATTGATTTGTGTGTCGCCTATTACCATGGTTGAGGAAAACTGGGAATTACAAGACATGTCGATGACGCCTCTGCCACATCTTACACCATTCTGGAGCAAAATATTTCCATTTAGTAAGACCCCATTGGGCATTGACTCTTTTGAGATGCCACAGGGACAAACAAGTTGGATCGCAGGGTATCTCTTGATGCATTCCAAACTGCATCTTGACATGGTCGTTGTGGTGCATCTCCACAACATTGAACCATATGATTGCAGTCGTTGCGCTCCAAATTGCTGCATCCTCGAAGTTTGGTTCATGGTCCAAACCCAAATATGGTCTCCAGACAAACTGCATATAAAATTAAATCAGCTTAATGAAAACGTAATAAATAAATAATTTAAAAGTAGAAAGGTTGAAAGGTATGACATACATCATCTGGGCCAAGGTGATCCAATAGATTGCGATATGGAGCGACATTGAATCTTGGATTCTTGCCGTAATCCATACCCCTCATGCAGTACCTAAAGGAATTGAAAAATATTTGATTTTTATCATATATTTGGTGAAGAGATGTGGTGTACCTCAAAATTTTCCCTCTCATTTCTCAAGGATTATCTCACAAGGTCTTCTATGACGTCAAGTTTGCAGTATTGACACATCAATTTAGACTTGGAATTGGCATAAGGGCAAAATGGTCATTTGCATACTGAAAAGTCAAACTTTGACTTTTGATCAAAATCAAGTTTCAAGAATCATATTTAATCAAGACATGTTGAAATATGAAGTTTGTTTCATCAAGAAATTCAAAATTCAAAAATCTAAAATACTTAGAATTTTTCTAAGTGTTTAAGAAATATGACAAGCTCAGAACTTCTGATCAGTTATCACCTTGATGCAAGCTGATTCTGGAAGAACTTCTAACACAAGAGTTTGAGATCTTAATAAGACCTAAAATATTGTAGAACGGAACTTCTCCTAGAAATGCTGGAATTTCAAGTTATAAATGTTCAAAGATACGTCCATGAAACTGAAGCACTCAGCAAATTCTGGACACTTTCAAGACAGATTTTAGTTAGAACTTATGGGCCAGTTTTAACAAATGTTCAGCCAGAGTTTGCAAAAGTAATTCAAAGAAAGTCTACAAAGTGTGTCATAAACTTTCAGAAAAGTCTGAGAACTCCTTCAGAACATGCTGGAGCGAAAAGATTAAAGGATCAGAAGTTGGATGTTTTGTTCTAAGTTGCGCTGATGCTGAACTTCTGGCTCAGATCTAAGCTATAATGCATAATCTCATAGCGCAAGATTTTTGGTTTGATAAATCTCATCACCATTTAATGCTCACAACCACTTTTGAGT